TTTGGCATCGGATCGTCACTCCAGGGCGAACTGAGTGGACTGGAACGTGTTTGAGAGTGTGTATAGGAGGAGGGGGTGCATTGTTGGGTAGGGACTGGGGATTAGTGTTGGGAGAGGGAAAAAAAGGCAATATTAAAAAAAATATATATACACAGCAGTGCATAATGTGGCTTTAATTATCGGGTTGTGGATGTGTTTACACGTATGAAGTTTGGAGAGGCAACACCTTTAAGACGGTTCACGATCAAAGGATACGAGTGGTTGCATCCATGGCATGTGAGAGGTTTCGTAGCCTGCGAAAGAAACATATGTACAATTACGGACATGTATTTACGCGGTGGAGGAGAAAGACAGCGTGCATAATTAGGTGTTGATTTGATTTGAGGCACAAACGAATCTCTTTGAAGCTTTAAAACGTCCTTATGGCTCGGACAGTCAAATGTTCTTTTACAACACAGCGTCATCTTCAGCAGCATCTTAATACTATTGTTAGCTTTTTGTATGGATGGATGTGTTTCTGCTGCTACTGACACTGGAATTTCTCCTCAATAAAATGTCTATCTATCTATCTATCTAAAAGATTGTTGCAAAACAGCTAAGGTTTCATAAAGGCAACAGGCCGTGCTAATTTCCTGGAACAAGAATGGAAGTGCATGTTGTGACAAGTGGTAAACAATCAAATTAGCTGTGGTGCAATAGTCAAATAGTCAATCTGTTATAAACAAAAATGTATACTTTTTTTTTCTTCCATTGAGTAAAATACAGGCTGACAACTCTCAAACCAAAATAAGTTTTCAACAAAGAAACTGAACTAAACTTTTTCATGTTATAGATTGAACTGAAGCTATCTCCAATGATGAATATTTGTAACTCACATGATCTTATTGGGTGTCTTACTTAAAAAATATTCTATCTTGCTACTTATGTGTACAATGCATTGAGTTTCCTTGTATATGGAATGCATTAAGCACATGGATATAGCTATCAATCAGCCGGGAACTACTTTTAGCTTCTTCCATATGTTTTTTGACAACTTCCTCCCTGAAATATCTGCCTCATTCTTTCCCCCTTTTTCCTCTTTTAAAAGCTGGACACACTTCCATAGCGGTACATGAGGGTAATGTTGAGAAAACCTGCAGCGGAGGATTGTCTGTGGGGGATTTCTGTAGAGCTGTGGGACTGGGAGATGCCATAGGGCCATAGGGGAGGGGAGGGAGGGGGAGAAAAGGGTGAGTTTGTAATGGTTATTAATGACCGTGTCGGATCTGTGAAGAATGAGATTTACTCTTTTAACAGGACCCCAGGTTTTGCCTTTATAGATTTTCTGTCTGTGGAGAATACAGCGATTTCACCTGCTCCTATTGAACTGCAGACGTCTCACTTTGGGTTAGCTTAGTCGTGTGAAAACGGAAAGGAAATAAAAGCAAAAGTTCCGGAAGTGAATGGGAAATGTGATGTGTGTTCCCTGCATTTCTTTTGGGATTAAAACTAAAAACATTAAAATACAAATGAGGGGCATTGTTTAGACACGTTTTCTCCCAATTGGAAAAGGTACATTGACATTTATTATGTATTAACATTACTCTACTTCAAAATTTAAATCAATGTGCTGAACAACAATGTTTCACTAGTTTAAGGACATTAGTTTGAACATTTCACCTTGAAGTAAGACAATATATTAACAGATTTATTAACATTTTTCACAACAGCAAAAATCTCTTGCATCTCTTGCTTGAAACAGACATAAACTAGTCAAACTATTAAGACATTCATTTAACACTGAATTCAGTTTTTTGTAGTTTATATAACTTAAAATTTGAGAACGTGATTTCTTTGTACAATATTTTTCAATTTAATTTGGAAAATGTTCTGTGCTTCCTTATTTAGGTTACTTTCCTTATAGATGCCTCTACAACACTATGTCTATCACTTGCTCCTATTCTTATACAGACATCTTTTTTTCCTCCTGTGTAATGCAAAAGATACACACACACACACACACACACACACACACACACACACACACACACACCCATACACGCGCACACACATTCGCTGGTGGCCCTCGGATCGGCTTGGCTCTGTCCCCACGTGGTGAAGCCAGTCGTGGGAGCAGATATGACAGCTCCGTGCCTCCATGCAAGGACCCCACCGGAAACACTGAAGATGAATAGCCTCACACTCATACACACACACACACACACACACACACACACACTCATAAGCATGCGGATGTGTCACGTCCCACCCACACTGATCCCCCCCCGATAAGCCGTGCATGCAGGTGTTGTCTCAGCCAAGAAGTGGGTTGTTTTATGTCTCATGGATGTAACCAGAGCTTTTATTAGGCTGCACTGAGGAAGCACCTATGAACAAAAAGACAAATTAGGTTTAGATAGAGGTGTAAGTAGGTCTGTCTGTTTCCAAATACATCCGGATTAGTGAGAATATTACTTACTTTATGCGGCTTGATTATTCCATGTGATAGATACACGAATGAAGTGGTTTTTGATCGTGATGAGAGCTTGTATTGAACGTAAGATTTGGCTTTAGGACAAAAGCTGTAGTCTCTGTTCAAGATGGGTTGCATTTTTCTCTTTTTCTTTGAGAGGAATTTCTTTTTGTTTTGAATACATATACATATTACATACATACATATTTGCGTGTCCCATTGGCAATTCATGTTTTGAGACAGTGGTCGTCAAAGTAGTAGCAGCTGCTGATATTTTCAAGATTTGTCTTTTTGTTGTTGTTGTTGTAATTTGAATAATATTACTGTTTCTGACATTATTTTAAATTAGGTTAGATCCATTACAACAAACAATTACATCAATAAACAACAATAAAACATGAATGTGGCATGTTTTGACGCTTCAAATGTTTCATATTTTCAATTGTCAGTGAGGGACAGTGTTTTTATGCCTATTTCAGCGGGTCCCAGTCTGAGAAGTTTGGGAACCCCTGTGTTCAGACAGTCCAAATGCACTCAAGTCAAGATTCATTTAGCGTATGATTAGTAGTAGTAAGTAGGTAAGTATCTTTAGTTATGTAGCACATTTTATGGACCAAGGTCACACATGTTTTGGAGACCCAATAGTTCAAGAATAAAATATATCCCCAATAAGATAAACTTCAATAGATAAATAATGTAGAAGAAGAATTAATTATTTGGAGGTGAAAAAAGATAATAATCTATAATTTCAATACAAGAAAACAAACTTTCCAGCAGCTTTCCCACATTTTGATTTAGTAAATATTTGACAGGTCTATAGATATGATGTGTAACAATGTGCTTGAAATAGTGGTACAAGATCTTTTGGGTTATGGAGCTTTTTGTAGTTTGTAGTGTTTTGAAAACCAATAGATTTTGTGCTCCTCTGCGTTCTCCATCATTTAGAACTCCCCTTTTCATAATCGAGTTTAGGTTTGGAGTCACTTTCTGTAGTCTTTTTTAGGCCGAAAAAAGTGGTGTAGATCTGGCGGAGCAAATTATGGCCATACGTGACGATTTTAAGTTCTGATAAGTAAACAGGTTTTTTGTATGCTGTCATTTGCTTGTAATGTAGCCGCAGGTCGGAATGTTGAATTTCACACATCTGTCTTTCATACTGGACTGTCTTTGGTTCACCACATGACTATCGATCATGAAAATATGCATAATTAAATAATAAGTAATGTAAAATAACGCTTTCTCAATGAGATGCTTACTGATGATCATACAAAGAATTATGTTTTAGTGGTGAACAAAGCACAGTTTTAAGATTAAATATTAGTTGTCAGAGTTAAAGAAAAAAATTCAATACAGCATCGGCCTCTGCATATTATGACACAAAATTTGACTTTTGTAATATAGTAAACATTTTTATAATCATAACTCCATTCATTCACACTGTTCAATACATATGAACACTTCTTTGTGAAAAAAAATAAAAATAAATATATTTTGATCCTTTTGCCATATGGTGCACACTGGAGTAGTCTTGCACAGTTTTTCCAATGTGGTTTTACTGCAAATGGCAAATAAATTCTTGAACCTTGAAACATATTGATTAAAGATTGCAGCTTGATTCAATGTTCTCTAAAAATCTTTACTCTTTACTTATATATAATAAAATCAATTATATTCATGGGTTCCAGAATGATGACACATTGAGTTACTATAGACTGTCACAATTAATAGATAAAAAGTATAGGGCTGAAAAATGAGAGTTATTGCAATGATGGTAATTGAATCATTGATATTGCATAGATATGGATTCATTTTATGCATAGATCATGTGGTTTATCATGCATAACCTTTGTCCTTGCTCTAAACTTTCTATGGGGAGTGGCTGGAAATAACCAACACAACATGGCATCCATTGATTTATTCTTTGGGGAAGGAATGTATCGTAACTTGGTTATTTTCACAGTCCTCAACACTACTAATTACTGTACATATATATACAGTATGACCCTAACCCTTTTCCTGCCAATATGGTGCAGCCCTAAAAGAAAGATGGTTTCATTGATGAAGACTTTATTGATCCACCTGGGGAAATACAAGTTCTCTTCAGTAGCAGATACAGAAAACAGAGTCATGAGTAATATTAGGGATTGGAAAACATTTGTATTTATGTTGAATTGTGAATAGTGGGTGTTGGTCTGCCTAGGTCTGGTCTGTCTAATATTTCTGTTGTTCCATCCTCTTTTGTGTTTTATACTGACAATTGCTTATATAAGTTTTGTTGGTTGCAGGGAAAAAAAGTATTTGGGGTTGTAATTGGGGCATATTTCTTTGTTTTGAATTGTCATTGCCACCTGGCTGTCATTTTGATGTATATGTACTCATGAAAGGAAAAAAAGAAGAAAGGTGCTCTCCATCCCTGTCCTTCTTACATGCCACATCACATAATATCCAACTATTGTAAATGTCTCCACTGTGCGATCAATGAAGTTTATCTCATCTTATCTTATCTTATTTCATACTTTTTCACTCACTTATCTTTTCTCTTCCACAGCAGAAGCCAATCATGACCCAGGAGCGGCGTCGCCTTCCTCGTCCCCCGCGTCCTCCAGCTCCAGCCCGCGCAGGACGGGTCCCGGTGAACACGACCTGCTAACATGCGGCCAGTGTCAGACCCACTTCCCTCTGGGAGACATCCTGGTCTTCATCGAGCACAAGCGGCGTCTGTGCAGGGGGCTCAGGAGTCCAGCCGGGTCCTACTCCAAACCAGGGGAGAATGGAGGGACCAACGGCCTGGCCATCTCCCCCCGTGGCCGAGTGCTGGACCTGGGCAGGGGGCCGGTGGAGGTGGGCATCCAGGTGTCACCGGGAGGACAAGAGGACATGGAGAGGAGGCTGACTCCGGCTAAAGGCATCTGCCCCAAACAGGAGAGAGGAGGTATGGGTCTACTTGTTATACCGAGGGGAAACTTGTATACTTCCGGCTAACTTGTAAATTGTCTTTACTGTGCTTTTATCATGGACTGTATACTGATGGCCAAAGCTGACTCCCCTAGCTCTATGAAGTTCAATGAATAAGTTACTCATTTGGCCTATTCAGTGGGGACATTTCAGTGTTGCATCACAAGTTACAGACCAGTAGGAATGAGGAGTACACATCACGAGATAAATTAATAATAATTCTATACTATATTAAGAACAATAAAATCAATAACTCTATCATAAAAAGAAGCAGTATGAAATCTCTATCTTCAGCATAAAAAGGAAAGAAGTCTTAAAATCTCCAACTTTAGCATTATGAAGAAGAAGAACAAAACCCCTGACTTTATCATAATAAGGAGCAAGCATCAAATACTGTATATTCTAGTGCTCCTCTAGTTTACCCTAACAACAACAGACACAATCCGGTGCTGTTTTTTCCTGAATTTGGCTTTAGCTTGTGAACAGGAGACCACCACTTGGCTCTAGTTCCCCGCCCCGGAGCCTGCTCGGCTTCTAACACTGTAGGTGATGTCAGCACTGGTTTTGCCCACTCCTTCTACTGTCTATGGTTTATATCCAATATATATATATAATTTAAATTTGACAAAAAAAAAACAAAAAAAACGAGCAAAGACTCAAAAACAATGCAAATGTTGAGCTGTTTCAATATATGCAAATATGAATCAGGAAATGGGCGATATGGCGATAAAAATATATATCTTTGTGATGAATTATCGTATTGTGTGGTTCAAATACAGAATCTTTGTAAAGATTGAACATTATTGTCTTTATGCACTTGAGGAGGACACTGAGTCAAGAGTTTGTGTTTGTAAAAAGTGATTATCATTCCATAACACTGGAGCAAACTGCTTTATGATGTGCACATGCAGATAGAACGAAACCACAAAAAGTGCAACCGCTGTATTACTTTGCACTCACAACTTAGAAATATTGTGCATTATTTTTTGCCCTTAACAATTTTAATGTAATTTTACTACTTTCTCATTTCATGTTTTAGAATGTGAATCTTAAAGGTACTGTACAGTATATAGGATATTTTCTACTTCCGGGCGATTGGTCCTCCCAGTTGTCAATCATTCTGGTGATACATGCTCATCAAATAAGACCGGAGGGTTTTGCTCAAAAAGTGGAGAGGGCAGTTCTTTCCTAAAATGTGGGAAAATCCTCTTATATACATTTAAGTAGAACAAATATAATGATAGAACAAATTCTATATCCCTTTCACAACCAAGATGGCCGTTGCATTTCTCGAATCTCGCCGTACACCAGGCAGAGGCACTTCACGCCTTCTTTAATGCCACCAAGTTGTGTCAGGCTTGTCGTGTGTATATTTCTGGCAACTTTTTTTTTGGTTCTGACTCAATCCTCCACGTGCCGCCATGGAGGAAAAAGGAGGTTAATCACAGCGCAGCCAATCAAATCATTCGGTCTAAACAGCCCCGTTACCTTCCGCAGACCCACCTGTCCAACGCAGATAAGTGTGTTTCAAGCATCCCGACCGCTTGTTATTTTGACAGTGGCCTTCAGGTAGGATTAATGCACCCGCGATGATTTCATTAGACGCAGAGTGTGTCTTTTCAGTGCTGTCCCGAGTTGGTAAAAAAATAAATAAAATCACACACGTCTCCTCCATCTGAGACCAATTGTGCGAAGGCGACGAACGAAAGGTGATGGAAGAGCTGCGTGTGTCTATGCGCGGGCACGTGGCATGTCTTTGTAAAGAAATCCTGCAGCATTATACACAAAAAAACAGGCTAAGAAAGCTGATTATAGTGTGTGCGTGTGTGTGTGTGTGTGTGTGTGTCGTGAGGAGAAGCGGATTAATAAAGCAAGAAGAGGGGCCTTTTTAGCGCTGCAGGGAAGCCAGTTCAAAGTTATCACCAGAGACAGTCGTCATAGAAGCCAGGGAGGGGATTACAACAGATCTGCCAGGCCTGGGTCAAAACCACGCTTTTGTCTTTAAAATCCATAGGGTCGAGTTGTGCGTGGGGGAAACATGGGGTTATAGGAATTAAACAGCTGGTCACTACAGAGGAATGCATTTGAATGTGGTTAAAGGAGGAGATGGGATGTGCCTATTGTGATTGTCGCATGCCGAAAAGGAGGAAGAATGAGAACGGGAGGTTTTTGTGATTATGGACGTGAGCAATTCTTCCCATAGGACTTATTAGGAGAATAGCTTGAGTCTATTCAGAAAGAAGGCATTCTGATTTTTTATTTTTAAGTTGGGCAATTTTCTGTCCCGGCCTTGAATTGTCTAGCAGCAACAAGGATTGTGTTACAGAATATATTCAAATCATGCATTTACAATTCAAGTAAATCACCCCTCTCTTTTTTTGACATAGCAATACAATAGTCATGATACAATAGGCATCTGATGGTGATGGTTTTGATGATATTTGGATATTTTCCCAAATTATGTTAATTTACTATTTGACTTGTTTATCAGCATAACTAGGCTATGTATCAATGTCTAGCCTACAAGAAAAGACGTTTTCTGGACTTGAATTGTGATAAAAATACAAGAATATACACATTTCTCTGTGATGTGACAGTTGGTAGAGCATTGGCGTTTGGGCCTAAAGGTCATGGGTTAACCCCACTTTGCCTGAAGCCCCGGCTGAAAGATCAAGGCAGCTCAGACTAGAGCAGCCGTCCTCCTGTGGACTCACCCCCTGCAGGAGGATCAGTGAGGGTGCTCTGTGAATTGGGTGCAGCTCTGACTGCCACCCCAAATACTCAGAAATGGATTAAGGGGAGGAAAATGGATGGAAGGCAGCATGTCGTGGTCCGATCTGTTCATGAAATGTAACTAGTCAAAAAACAATACAATACAAGTTAGGTTTACAACAGCATTTAACCATTGTCACTGTTATTTTGAGTTTCCTGTAGAAGAAGACTCTCAATAGACTCCTACGACGTTCCCCTTTTCAGAGAACACTTCTGATTTAAACCAAGCTGACATGAAAATTATTTTATACAACTTATTTCTCTAATTTGGTTTGTCACTAATGCAAGACAATGCAACACATGTGCTGGGTTCGGGTGTGTGGCCGCTGTCATTTGTATCGAATCAAAGAGATCAGAAATAATTCGTGACACACTGTTGGATGTCAAAGCAAACTACAGAGTATAGAGAGTCCTTTTTACATTTGTCTTCTCTAAGAATAGACCAGTGGCTATAAGATTTGTCACTTACCACACACAATTGCACTACCGGTATATATTAAAATCCATTCAACTAGTTTCTTGCCCAAAAAATGATTTGGTTTTATCACTAGTCTTGCATGTATTTTTGTTCTCCGTCACATCTGTGGATTAGCTTTTTCAGACAGAAAAATGAAAATGAACGGAATCATGATGTGGTTTGCTTTGTTCGCAACGTTCAGCTTTTAGAAGATTCTTTTGTTGGGAAAAACAAAGACAAAGTTGTGAGGAAAAGTTGGAAGCATTTTTGGATATTAGAAGAAGCAAAACCAGGAGGTTGTTTGATGACATTACACAATTTTGAAAATGAATTCAATATATCAAAAAGAATTTAATGTACACATAAACACAATTACATAGTCAATTAAAACCAAATATATGTCCTTGTTTTATATGGCAAATCATAAGTTATGTTACCGAACAATCACAAAACTGGATTTATATGCCTTTAAATGCCTACTTGTCTCACAATTGAATGATTTTTTTTGAGTGTCTTTAGTCTTTAGTCTCATAGTATTTAGTGTTAGGTGGTCAGGGGGAAGACATTAGAAGCAGCAGTGTTATCACCAACAGAACAGGACACTTCAGCACTCGGAGCAGCGAATAAAAGAAGAGAGCTTTGTTGAACGTGGGAGATTGCCACTCAAGGCTTTCTCCAGTTTTAAAGCGAAAATTAGATTACATTAGCGGTCCTAATTAAGTCCAATGGGCTGCTAGCACACACAGATATACACTTAAATGTCACTTAAATGAGACGGTTCAAATGCTTTCAATTATTGTGTGAAGAAATTTCGAGATTATGCCATTGTGCTGCAATATGTGTGTGTGTGTGTGTATCTCTGTGTGTGTGTGTGTCTGTTTGTGTGTGTATGTGTTTTAATGCCTTTTGGCTATAGTCGTGTTTGTAAATCAACCAAATGAAAGACTATTTCTGAATCATTTCTAATCTAATTTGACTGAAAAACTTGATATAAAACTCAATACTGTTTGGGACTATAGATTCAATTGAAATGACCTTTTTTGCTACAAATAAACTAGATGAATTCAGATAATAATAATACACAATGATACATTCATTGACTTGCTACTGTATGTTGACAAGAGTTCAGCAGCAACTATTGGGAAGAAAGTCAAAGCCAAAAAGTAAAATGAAAAAAAAAAAACAGCTGCCTTTCAAACTAGCATCTCAAATGAGAGGGTTATTCTGCTTTCTATAGTCTGCTTAGAAATTGTAAACATAAATATTACTGACATCATATCCATTGTATTTTTGACAAAGAATAACTCCAATTTGAACATACTGTAGGTCAAACGTCCAATATGACCTGTACATGTTTAATGTAATTTAAAATGGCTTAGACTGTCCCTTTTTAGAAATGAGAGAACAAAACTATATAACATTCTGTGCTAAAATCAGCCAATCAATGGTATTATTACGTCAACTTAAGGGCTACACTCTCACTAAACTGAAATGAATACGTCCAGGAGTAGTGTTTTGGAATATAAACTAAACCAGAGAAGACTTTGCTTTTAAAATAATCCTTGTTTTGTGTACCCCTTGAGGTCATGACATAAACATCAAGATTGTCATGTAGTGAAATGAAAAAAGGAACCCAAAATTCAAAATACAGGACGGAAAATAATGTGTAATTTAATCAAAAACATCTATGGTCAACCCCAAAATACAAGCAAGCCAGGATAGAGTAACAAATTAGTAAAATAAAACCA